TATATATATATATATATATATACGTATATGTGTATGTATAATATATAACTATAAGACCATATAGCTGAGATTATGAAAAAGGAAATTGCAGAAAATCGGATTGCGCGATTGTTAATTCTTTAAAGACAATGCATTGTTAACAAATTAGAACATAATGATTAATTAAACATAATAGTACAATTAACATCTTGAATCGATATGATTTAGCTTGAAAAGATAAATGCCACTTTATCTTTGTCCTTGTTTCATTAATTTTGTGTGCTGTTATTTTCTTGCAAATTAAACATTTTAAACAACCGATTTTCTGTTTATACAAAGGTGAATCTTTTATACAAAGGGACACACATTAGATATTGTTATGAGTAAAAAAAGCTCGATATAATTAGAAATTGGCCAGATAATCGAATTATAAAACTCTTTGATACTTCGATTAGAGACAATAAAATAATCACAAATTTAATTCAATTTTAAATTGATCTTATTAATTAATAATTGATTAATCTTTAATCAATTATTAATAATTAATTAATAATTAATTAATCTTTAATCAATTAATATTTTTACAAATTGATGATAAATTTCGGTTAAATTTTAAATTTTAAATCCAATTAAATTTTATTTGTTTTTTTAAATAATAGATCTTATATTTTTTATTATTAATTACAAACAGAAAAAAAGGAAATATAAAAATCTTCTCTATCAAAGCATAATTAATAAATCGCAAATTTCAAACTTCCTATTCGTAAATAAGTACTAATAATTTTCGTTTGTAATACCTATCGTATATTGAATAGGTATAGCGATCGTGATTGTCGATAACGATTGTTCTCGATTAAGAATTTTATTATACTATACAAATGACACGGAAGCAATTTTACAAAGCGTCAGATTTCAGTTTCTCTTAGCAGTTGGCCTATTGTACTGATCATTAACTATTCGTTTTATCATTCGTTGTACTTCAATCCTGCAGACTACGATTGTATCACAGTCCTTGACGAGATCACACTCGCGATAGTCGAGCTATGCGATTAATACACAAGTTTGCAACGACACAGAGCACATAATTATGGACATTAGTGGACGTTTTGTCTCGATAAAGGATCACGATGGTGCCTACTTATGTGTGCACCTTCGTACTTCTTAATGTTAATATAATACAGCGCGCTGTCCCAAAAATAAATTATTTCTTTGCATATTGAAAATAATTTCTAAACTCACGTTAAAATGTATATGTTGAAAATTACTCGTTGTAATTAAGTAGTTTAGTTACGTTTATCTAATCATTATATCAACCAATCGATAAATTTTGTAACAAATAGTAATGTTTCCGTAATTTTTTCTTTTATAGAATTTCTATAAAATTTATGTCTCTAATATTCCCTAAAATATTATTATTTTATAGAAAACATAGACGAATTCTTACATTCTATAAATGTTTAAGATTTCTTATAGTTTCTTAAATATTTATAGAAAATTTAAGAGAGGACACTTTACGACAGTTTCGCGTTAAATAGTATAAATGCAATTTTCAAGTTGTAATTGTACCGCAGCCTTCAATCAAAGTAAAATTAATAATTTAGTTGGACATAGTTTATATCACAGCCATTGACACTTAACACTCGACAATTACTATTAATTAACAGTCGCGTTTATATATTCGCAAGAGCATATTTCTTCAATTTTCCAGTGATCTATTATTTTAGCGTTATCTATTCAATAATGTCTAAGAAGTCGTAAAGATTCGTAATAATCATATTCTTATCATGCCATCGAGTTTCAATTCGATAAGCAACATCGACACTTACAGTTAACATTGAATTGAAAAAAGTCTTCATAGTTGAAACTGACAAATTTCACAGTACAATACAATGATCCGTTAAAGAACTTTTAAGAGAGATATAAATTTCTTTTTTGTAAATATTCAATCAAACTTTATCAACTAATTTCTACAAAAATTCATTTATATTTCAGTTAAAGAATTAATTCAAAAAGAAACATAAAAATATATATTTTTTTATTCCATTTATATTGATAAAATTCCAAGATAAAGTGTGCTGTGTAGATACAAAAGAAATTTATACAGTAATAAATTTAAATGTAGACATATAATTTGAAAAATAATACAATATAATATGTTAAACAAATTATCAAGATAATACAATATAATACAATATAATATGTTAAACAAATTATCAAGAGAAGAAAATAAATTATAAAACGCACTTACCTGACAACAAAACCAAATGAAACGATGATCAGTTAATAAAAAAAATGAAATAAGCAGACGAAAATTTTGTGTAAATAACTTGTAATTACTGTAAAAATAGAAAATCTGAGCGAGACGCACGCTATGCTAGAATACTATCAATAAAAAGCATCCGAATAATTCCTTGGAGCTGGCAGAACCAAAGAACTCAATTGACATAGATAATTAGTTAATTCAAACAGCTCTGTTCACGGCGCAATTAAATGCGAGTTTAAAATCGAACTAATATGTATGATAGCGATATACATAGATCGAAAATTTTAAGACTTTTTTATCTCGATATCGAAGTATACAATAATACATATATCTAGTTGTCATCTAATGGTTTCATATATTCTACATATATACGCGTATATCCAGTTACATTATTGTATATATTACCACGCTATCTGAATAAGTTTACTCGACATATAACGATGTATGCAGAACGAGAATTGCAAGTTTCAATATTTGTAACGCCTTCAAGACACCAAACGTACATTTCTCACGATTAATTTTAAAATGAATTTCTCATTGCGTAATTTGTGTATATTTGTTGACAAAAATTTTTCTTAAAATTCTACAAAATTTTTCACAAGAATTTTATATAAATTTCAGAATTTTTCTGAAATCTTATATAATTTTATAACTTCTTCTTTTTAAAAAATTTCTTATACTTGTTATATGAATTGGAACACTTCAGAAATGCTGAGGAATCTATATCTTTTCTAGAATTCTTTATACGTATGTACATGTAAATTCTGAAATTTTCTCTAAGAATTTTTATTCTATAATTTCTGTAGAAAACTTACAGTCTGAAAAAGTTCAAAATATTTTTCAGAAATCATAAATTGAAAACATTTAAATATTCTTAATAAAATATTCTTAATAAAATATTATATAAGAATTTTTTTCACAAGGATCAACTATAAATTTTTGTGACAACTTATAAAAAAATAGTTAATAAAAAAGCATTTAAAAAAGAAAAGTTGATTTAACAAATTTAAACAAATCTTCAACTAAGTTCATCGCTGTGAATTTGTTTCTACATTAAATGACTTTCGATTGAAATTTGACACAAAATAATTATGTTTCTATAAGAGAGTATTTTCTTAGAAAGCAAATGACAGAAAACTGACTTTTCATCAAACCACAAATTTTTCTATCTATATAACACAAGTTTACGCACTCATTGTCAGTGGCTTTTACAACGTTTCCGACGTACAATCTGAAAATTCGTGGACGGTGCAGAGGCGAATACAGCAGCCTCGAAAGTTTTCATAATCGTGCAGGTTTTATGAATAAGCATGCAAAGAGTAACTCATTTTATTTAGGAATGTATAATTGGATATTTACTCAGATTCATGTGTTTACTTTGAAAAAAATTATTTTCCTGATCTATATATATATATATATATA